AGTTAAAAACTGCGAATATTTAAAAGTATTAGCCAAACAGCATACTCCTGCTTCAAACTCACATTCTAATAAAAAAAGTTTTGTATAATAAATAGTGTGTACTGAATGTCGCATCTCAATGCTGCTGACAATTTATTTGAACTGACGGAATATAAAGCTTTATTTAGAATAGCAGAAAAGATTATGTGTAAAAGGTACTAGAATAGTGCAAAAACTGGTACGTGTTGACTTCCAAAATAATAGTTTTTTGTTGGGTTGTTGAAGAACTAAGACATAATTGTTTCATAATAAAATTGATTCAAATTTACAGAATATACGTTTGACGTCTTATTTATTTTTAAGTTAGTCATAGGATCCTCATTAATAAAATCAGAAAAATAATAGATTTAGTTCAGCTCTTTTCAAAAAAATAAAATTAAAAATAAAAAAAAATAAAAAATAAAAAATAACAACTTTAACATTTTAGGATAGAACTATCAATAAATAGATTAGCAAAATAGGTGTAGAAGAAAGTAATAAAAATGCTGCTGTTACTGTCGTACTTATATTAATAAAAAATTTGATTACTTAATATCACTTTTGTTTACAGTTCAATTAGTGACACTTTGACTTTTATTTATTTGATTTTTTGGCACTTTTTTCAGCTACAATATAGTGTGTTATCAAATTCCTGATAACTAAACAGGTCACTAACAAACTGTTAGCCAACATGTTAAATTGTTGCAGTGTCATGCACTGTCTCTGAAAACAGCAGGAAATAACAGTTAGTTTGATAGGCAGTCAATCGTCTGTTGTACTACTTTTAACTTTTTGTAAAGTCTAGAAAGCCAAAAACATGCTAAAAAACAGATTAAAGGAAAATTCTGAACAACAGATAATAGTTCTCTGTGTATGCAACTTGTTTGACCCAAATGTCACCAATTATGTTTAGTTCTTTCAATATGAATTATTGCTTTCTCGCTTTTCTCTCTTTTCTTTTTTCTTTCATTTTTTTTGTTATACACACATCAGTGCTAAATGTTTTGTTTCGTATTACTTACCATAATACCTAGTTAATAGATAACTTAATAATTGTCAACGGAGAAAATAAAAAAAGCAGTTGTAATACAATTTGCTATAAACTCTAGTCTGCAAATCCAGTCTCTTCAAATGGGCAATTATCAAGCGATTTTTATGCATAGTATCTTCTGAAATTTGTTTCATTTATTGAAACTGCATGGGTATGTTGTATCTTTGCTGGGTTCTACTTATAAACGTTAAACAGTGCTAAATTTGTCACAAATGTAAAACTTTTGATTGTTAATTTAGTGGCATCTTTACAAATTATCAGAATCCCCTGAGAATGATTGACAGTTCAATAAGTTTTGTAAAAAACTGGTATAAAAAGAAAATTCTACAATGTTACCAGAATTGTAAAGAAAATTGCAATTTTTGTCTTTTCTTCTGATAAAACTGCTATTTTTATCTTAAAATATTAATCAATTAGTTTACTTGTGCTTTAAAGTCACGAAAAAATATTGCGGTAAAAGCGCTTTTAGAGGGCTTGAAGACAGAAGAAAGTAACTAAAAAAATTTTTGGCAACTTTCTCTTAATAATTATTGCAAAACTTCTATTTAAACTGATTTTGACAAAATTGAAAAGTACACAACAAAAGATTGAAAAATTTTTACTTTGTCATAATAAGATAGTCTATTTGAAGCATTTTTTACAGTTAGGTAACGCGAGACATCGGCAAAAACCCGTATATTTGCACTGTTGAAAACTTTCTTACAACAATTTGGACATTTATGGTAAACACAATGTTCCATTGTTAAAATTATATTTGTCTTAATTATTTGAATTAAATTACCCTAAATACTCATGCTCAAGAAATATCAGCACCAGCTGATTTCTTCAGCTGTTGCATGCTTGGTTGTCGTTATCATCTATATTGAATCCAAATTTTATAACTGCATCAGTATTAGCATGAACTTTTAAACAAATGAATTGATCAGTTATCCTTTTTTCTTTTAGGTTTGTTTCCTTTGCTTTTGTATGCAGGTTTCTTGAAAAAAAAAGCAAATTTATCCCTGTTTTCTCCTGAAATACTTAATCGACTGTAATAATAAAGATAGTAACTTTATTTACCTATTTTAACAAAAGTTCCAGAGTACTTTTGTGTAGTCGTTATTATATGCACTTTCACAGTAAATTTTTCTACTTGTTTTCATTGTTGTCAAACCTCTCATCAAGCCTTACTTTTTTTACTGATTGAAGAATACACTTTTTGTAACTTAATTGCTTTTTATACTCACTGTTATAGCTGCTTAAATAAAGCTAAATTTAGATTCAAAATCCTAAACGCTGTTTGCCAGGTTGAGTGAAACTGAAACTTGCATCAACTTTTTAACTGTCTGATATAACAACTCAACTAAAAAATATCGTAATAAATAAACTTTTAGAGCCACTATCGCACACAAAAATAAAGATATCAGATCACTTTAATCCGTAATTAATTTCCAAACTTTTTTTCTTTTAAGAACTGATTAGTGACTGTTTGAAGGTGAAGTCTTTTATAGTGCGCTTCCAGTCAGATACTTTTTTGTAAATGGAACAAAGAATTAATAACTAAAACGGTAAAAAAACATAGTTATCTTTTTTTTGAAAATATGATATAGAAATAATTTTGGCCAATTCCAACAAAAAATTCATTTGAAAAAGTTGTTGCAATCACCCTTTCACAGATAGTGAAACTGCATTTTTTCACTCTATTCTGTCGGGGTCATGAAGAGTCGGCTTTGGTAACGGGTTAAACTTAACGTACTCTTCTTTTTTATCTTAATTATATAAACCAAAATTTGTTATTATAATTTCAAAAGTCGAAGTTAAAGTTTAGAGTTCCACATTTTTTTACAAAACGTGTTTTGAACGATATCAGAGACTTTCATTTGAGATTATCTTGCTTTTAGAGAAGTTTTTCAAGCAAATATTTAAACCATTTTCGTTCATCTCGTGTTACAGTTGTTCAAAGCAAGTTTCTTTTTTTTTTACGAGAACAGCTTTTGAATTTCTGTTATATAATCAGCTAAATATGTGACAGGTTATAGTAGCTGCTAATCTTTAGGATTCTTGAACGTTTCGCTATTCTAATTAACCCTTATTTTTTTCTACCTGACTTCAAAAAGGTTCTTTGTGACTGCGAGATAATCAACGAATGAAACTGCCTGCAAAACGTGCAGTTTTGAACGGACCAACCTACTGAAGAAGTAAAAAAGTGAATAGTGCTTTTTGCCAGTTATGCCACTCATAGTCCTCATGGGATTTGTTGGAAGGAAAAGAAAAGGTTACATCATTATTAGTGATATACACTTTGTTAAGTTTTATGGTCTTTTTTACTTCTTCTTTTTCTTCTCAATAATGATTTGCTCTTTTATGCAAGCTGTTTTCTGAAATAACATTTTGTTGATCACTTACTTTAACTTTGAACCTTTTTCATTGTTTTCTTACAGCCAAAGTTTCATTAAAAGTTTAACAATGAAGCTCTGACTGGTTGCCTTTTTTTTCTTCTTTTCAATTTTGAAATTTAAACTTTTTAACTCGGAGCGTTTTATAAGAAGAAAAAATGCTCAAAAATTTTTAGAAACTTTATAATACAGAACTGTTGTCTTCTACGATATTAACTTTTTATTCATTAGAAAATTTTTTTTGTTTTTTATTTCTGAGTAGTTCATTATTAATAACAAATATTTAGAGTTATTTATTGCCAGCAATGTTTATCTTGATTTTGTCTATTCTATTCTAGACCTAATCATAACCAATCTAAAATTTAAAGAAGTGTGCATTTTTGCAACATTTCAGCAATTGTTCTAAAACCACTACCGCAATACTCATTGATATGTCCTCAGCTTTGCAAACTGTGAAGAATAAAGTTTGATAATAATATTAATTCAGTTTATTAGTTTATTTGAAAAATTCTACAAACTGCTAACCTGTCACTACTACTTTATAAAACCTCCATTAAAAACATTTAACTCGTAATAAGACGTCATCAAAAGAGCGAGAAAATAACTAGTCTCCCTTATTCACAGTTCTAAACAGTATCGGCTGCACTTATGTTAAGCCATACTAGGTAATTTACTTGTGTGTCTCCCAGCCGATAAAGACAGCTGAAAAAAGACGAGCAACAGTTCCACCTAAAAATAAGTGTTTCTTTGACACCAGAAAAGTAATTTATGCAATTCAGAGAATCTTACGTAAGCAGTTTTGAATATTTCTGAGTTGTTCAAGGGTCAATCAATATATTTTGATTTTTCAAGAAATTTTGCAGAAAAAAATTTTTTTTTTTTGCAAAAATTCTTGAAAAATCTTTTTGAAAAAATGCTTTTATAACTTTAATGACGTTTATTAGAAAACTTCCTATTTTATATGAAAAAAACAGAAAAGTGACACTCATTTTTGAGCATTTCCAGCTTTTAATACTTTCGGTAAACGACAATTTGCATACCAGCAACTTTTTAGTAACAGTCAAGTAAAAAGAGAAATCAAAAAAGATCAATAATTAAAGTTTTTTATTACTTGTGAAGGTTTTTTTTGCTGCTATAAAGCAATTAGAAAGACTCCTCGTTTTCATTGGAAAATCTAAAAATCCTTGCTTATAGTTGCAGCGGCCCAAAAAGCACAGATTATTATACTTCTTGTCCTCTTAAATGAATTACTAGCTAGCAGAAAAGTGGCAACTGGTCCTGAAAAGTAAAAACCACCATCATAAACGAAACTTTTTTTTATTCTTTATTTTCTTTTAGGTTCACATGTAAATTACAAATTTCAAGATGTTTTGCTATTGTAAATATGCTATAGCTTTTTAAGGTATTGTAAGCACATTTTATTCCTTCAGACTACCTTTCAAGACCCAAAGTAATAAAAGCAGTGAACGTCAAAATCATTGCCAAAATGAATCTTCCACAAAAAACAAAATAAACTTTTTGATGAAATTTTACTTCTGTCTTTACAGATTTCCAGCATGTGCAAAGTACCAGCCGCGTTTATTGTGTTGATTGTTGCAAGCATGCAGGTAGGATGTGCTAATTTACATTTATTTGGTATGGTTGGATCAAATCCACAAAATCCTCTACGATCTGGAGATGCTGAAATGCGCAGGTTGAAGTCATTTTTCAAGCATGTAGAAATTAAAGTTTTTTATTATTTAAAGTAATCTTATTGTAGAATAAGGTAACTCATCAAATAAACAGTGATTAATATTTGAAAACTAATGTTTTGTAATAATTGTCAAAAAAATGACAGAATAAATAAATAAGTAGAAATTTTCTTATTTTCAGAGCGTATAATCTTCATAACCTCAATATGATGGCATCACTCAACCATATGAATGATATTATAGCACAAAAAGAACCGTTTCTTAAACGACGTAAATGAATTAACTCATACTTTTATTACAAAAAAATAACATCAATCTAATTTTATTTCAATGATAATAATAACAATAATAATTTCAACATCATGAATTAATTAGTAATCTTTGTTGAAGGCCGAAACATTTGTTAAAGAATATCGAGTAAAAAGTTAGATTAATAATTGCAGTATATCAACCAGTTTATTGTTGCTTTAAAAATCTATACTGTAGAAAATGTCGTTGTATTCTTAGGCTACTATCCGTTCTGACGTATGCTAAATGCATAACGAGAATTACAGCAGTCTGCCAGATTACTGACGCAAGAAAGAAATGAGCCTGTTGCTAAAGATATGAGTTGATAACACATATTTTAACTTTCTGTTTTGAAGGAAAATAAGGAAGTAAAAATATTGTGCTTTTTGACTTATTCAAGTTTTTTTTGCAATTGCAGGATCTGTCGAACTCAGTGAAAGAGTTCTCTTCTAACCGTTGAAATAAAAGCATAAAGTTAAGTATTTTGCTAATAATCATTCATAAATCTCCATGTTTGACACTTCAATTAAATTCTTCAGTCCAAGTAAAGATTCTCCTTGAATTGAAGAATTTTAGAGATTGCAATGTACTGTGCTTTCATTACTAGCCATTAGATTGTTTTGTTTTTTCGTTCTCTAACTTTTTTCTTTGCTGTTAAAAAAAATTGAAAAATAAAAGGTTCCTAACAGCGTCTAAAAAACAAATTTCTTTTTCACCCTTATCGAGCGGTAACTTAGAATTATAGCTGACAATAAGGTATTTAGCTTTTCAGAGAATATTGTACAATATCCTACAGTTTTCTTTCATTCAAAATTCTCCTTCGAAGTACAATTATAGTAATGTAGTTAAACAAGTACATAGCTACAAAGATAATATTTCTAAACGATTAGATTGTTCCACGACGATATGCTATAAAAGTTTCATTATGGATCTCTGCATCTACAATTAATATTTGTAAGAAAAAACTATCATTGTTTCATAAGATGTTAATTAAAAAAGTGTAAAAGTAGCAGCAGAAATTCCTTCAAACTTCTCAAGCAGAAGTCTAATTATTTTTAGCATTAATTTAGTGCTCCCCAGACGATACTTCTCATAGTATTTTGAAAGTGATATCACTTGACAATTACTTTTCAGACATACCTTGTCTTCTCAACCTCTCTTAAAAAATTGACTGAGAGATGTGCAAAGATGTGGTTGAATGGTGACTGATGCTGCAGAAAAAAATAAGCAATAGAATTTTCAAAATTTTATTTGTTATTCAATTTGACATTAAAAAATTGAAATGTTTAGGTTTTTTGAACACCTAATTATTTAATCTTTCTAAATATGGTAAAGAGAACAAGCCCATAATGTAGTCTAGAAAATAACTGTTGTTAAAGCACATTATAAAACTAACTTGAATAAAGTTTTAGACGGCTCATAAAGTTTTTTGCAATATAACCAACAAGATTACCCGAAAACGTTAGAATACTTGTAACTGCTTGACAATTTTCTCTTTTCTCAGAAAAAAACTGCTCTTAACAGTTAGCGATTTTTCACCACAAAACAAAAACAGTTTCTTCTCACTTTATTAAAAAAACCAGGATTTTGAATAGACTGCAAGAGCAACAATCAACAAGTGCTGACAAGTTGTTTAAAAATATGTCTTAAAACTTCTAACAAAAACAACTCTTTTTCTTGCTCATTACTGGTGTTGCGTTAGAAATGTTTGCGTCATTTCCAGAAAAATACCAAATAAAAGCGTCAGTTAAGCCTCCAGGTTTGAAATATGAAGATAAACCAACATAAACTACTGCGTGCAAATTGCCTCAATTGCGGTAATCGTAAAGATATAATCACTTTCTGCCATTGCCTCTACTTAACGACTTGAAACCGTATTGCTAGAAGTGACTAGTTTGAAGTCGAAGAAGAATTACACAAGCACTTTATGTTAAAAACCTTCCTCTCCTGTTTGTTAACCTAGCTTAGCATAAAGCGCAAAGTTTCCCGACTATCGCAGGATTCAAACCTGCAGTCTACAGTCCCGTAGACTGACACGGTCTCTATTGCGCCACGCGGTGGCCTTGGGGTTGCCTCCCCTTGTTATTTATCAGCAGCTTAGACGTTCAGTTTTGATTGTAACGAACAACAAATTATAAAATCAACTAATTTTGCTCTTTAGTTGTCCTTGAATATTTAAATAAAACCTGAATAAATAAAAAGATTAGGATAAAAGTGCTCTTTCTTCTTCTACGCATAGGTCGCAGTATACCAATGTACGGTTCATATGGTATAATTTATTGAGTAGCGTACTTTATAAACAACGACTGATATACGCCTAAATTCCTTCCCGACGTTACTGAAGTTTTTTTTCAGGTATATCGTCTCGATAAATAATAAAATATAAATATTTTGTTATAATTATCACTGCAAACCAAAAGTACTTGTCGGTGCAGAATACAAGTATTGTGCATTTAATATCGCTTACCTAAAACTGACTGTGGTAACCAAATGGTTCAGCAAGACTCTCATAGAAACTATTATTGTAAAATTTGCGATGTGCATTCTCAGTCCTATGTGCAACCAAAGACTTGTCGCTGCTCACTACTGTAATGAAGACAAAACCATACTACCAGCCACAGTAGTTTTTCGCAACTGTCTAGTTAATGAGCCAAAGCGTTATATCAATTGTTCTCCTTTTTCTCCAGTCATATGTTAATTGAGTTACATTACTTTCTTATTCAACTAAAGCAGCTGTAGGAAAGCTGAAGAATTGTCAATCGGTTTACGAGATTTTATCAAATATGCACTAAAACAAAGTCGAGGAGTAGCGAGATTTCTAAATAAGACTACCATGTTTCATAAATTGTTCAGCAAATCAAAAATAATGGCATCCTTTTAGAGCAAATTTTAATCAGAAGTTTGCAAAACTAAACACCCGACCGACTTATCAATTTATCTGCTTTTTTTTTTTTGTTCAATATCTATACACTTTAAAGATTTCTCGCGCTAAAGTGCGATTCCAGCAAACAAATTAAATTTTTTTTTTTTTTAAAGTCAAGTGCCAACTTCAACAAAAGTTATACACTTCAATCTTAGTACGTATATTCATTTGAAGTACACAGTGCTGATCAAATCCCGCATTTATTTTCCAAAAGTTCAAGACGGTTGGTTCAGATTGGTAGTAACGAAAAGCAATGCAAAATGAAAGCAAATTCAAAATCTTTGAAGTGCATTTATGTTTCGCAAAGCGTTTTCCCCATACAAAAACATATCACAGATTTTATTAATCAAGTGCTGTAGACATTGCATCAAATGACACCATTATTCTACCCAATAGGTAATTTACCACAACCACTTTTGCTCTATACAACGATATAAATGCGCTTAGTTTTACATATTTTGCTGATTGGAATACAAAGGAAATACCTAATTGCTCAACAGTCTCAAAAGTAAAAGCGGCAGGTCGAAAACCAGACGTAAAATTGAAGATGTCTCATTTGATGATAAACAAAAAACTGACAAAGAGCTTCAATTTGTCCTTATTAGACGCTGTTTGGCGAGTGAATGCCGCAATAAAGCATCCTTTTCTAAGAAAATACTGAACAGACATTATTGTAATAAATGGAGAGCTAGCTTCTAGTAAAACTGACAATAGAAAGTGTGAGCAACTTTCAGAAGTTTCGAAATTTGGTATTACTGTCATCAAATTAATGTCATCAGATTTTTCAGTGATTCAAAAAAGAGTTTTCGTTAAATGTGGAACAGTTTTTCCCTTTTGTTATTCAAAAACCAATCATTGAAAAAAACGACTGTCGTTTCAATCCTGAAGTTTCATTGAGAAACGAAAAAAATTATAACGAAATAACTGATAACTGATACAAACCAAGCTAAAAAATCCTTGAGTTTTATTTCTTAACAGAAACAATAATGTTAATAAATTTAAATTGAGAAATTTTAAATGATACTAGTTATATCTAATCTTTACTGTACCGTTAGATAGATTTCTTTTGCGAAATCGTTGGGTAGACTTAAAATAGCCAAGCTCTCTAAAACTTTTTTGTCAAAATTTCGCTGAATTCCAAAATGAAGTATTCTTTGATCAATTTACTGACGAATTTCAATGTTAACCCACCATTAATTGCTTGCTTCAAAAATTTGCCGGCAGAACCAATTCTAAGAAGAGAAAGCCAGCTTAGAAACTGGTAGTGTTGCGTAGTAAAAAGGGGATTTAACGCGATAAAATTAAACTCAAAACTATTAGGAATAAGAAAAAAATAAAAATTCGTAGCACCTGTATGCAACGAAATAACTAAAGACATAAGATAAATAGCTCCTCGATTATCGCCACATTTCGACATTATAATTCTAATTCATATTTTTTCACAAAGGTTTCTCGTAATTCAGTTACAATGTGAGGTAAAATAGAACTTAATGCAAAAACTAACTTATTGATTCTTTAAAGACGGGAATATTACAAACTTTCACCCTGTTGTCAGTATCTGCGCTTTCTAACAGGCAGCTAATATTATGTCACTAAAAAAAATAATCTTTACTTCTTTTGTGAACCTGTCGCAATTACCTAGATATATCATTAAACTAGATAAACTGTTTTAAAATTTAGGAGAAAATAATGAACAATGAAAATAGAAAGATGTCCAATTTTAGTGCTTAGTAACTAGCGTCTTATTTCTTTTTCGTAGACCATGCATCAGGAACTCAAGTAAATCGGCTCACTGATTTACAGTTTGTCTAGCTGGCTCACTAAGATTTCCTGCCACAAAAAAAGAAATTTTTACTTCGAAATTTATAGTACTCTTTTGAGATAAAGTATTTAAAAACCAAAAAACAACAGAAACGGGTTTCGAAAAAGAAGAAAGGATAAATCTGTTAGACTTTAAATATTTAAGGCTTCATTCCAGTAAATTTTAAAAAATATTTTTTATCTCTAAACTTCATCTTGAAGTTGTAATCTTGAATTAAACTTAGATTGCAAGTTTTGATAATCAAACAAAAAAAAATTTCTTTCCTGCTAATTACCAAAGCAGAATTGAGAACCTAAAAAAAATGCTGTTCCTTGAGAACCCAAAGCAAATTAGAAGTAACCAATTACAGAACTGACTATATGTGTAAATATTTTTGAGAGTGGTTGAGTAGAGTTTATCTTGTAGTTTTGAAGGCAATTTTAGTGCAAATAAAACTAACCCAAACCCGTATTAAGAGTGGCATTTTTGGTATAAAATGCACCTGTTGAATGCAAACTGCATCGTTAGACAAGGCTTTGTAGTACTCAGAAAATTATATCGACTTACAAATATCACCAATGATTACTTGTTTCAGGAGAGCTGATTGTGCCAAAACTGATATCTGTGGATATAAATTTCATCTGTTTATTTCAAATGACCAACGGCAAACGAAATTGAATAAATTTTTTGCAAATTTATCTTTGCCTTTAATCCACTTTTTATTGCAGTTTTTAAACCATCTATCCTTTATTCTTTTCAAAAATCAAATTGCTTAGGAATTTTGGCTCTGAATTCAAACCAGTCACTGCTTTAACTGATATCAAAATCATTTATCTAGCCTAGTAATTTTCGAAAAAAAAAGATAAATAAACGAATAAATAGAAAAGAAATGTTGTATTACGATAATCCAAAGATGAAAATTACAAACAGAAGCTAAATCTGAGCTCTTCGAAGTTTACCGCACTTCAAATCTATTCAAGAGAAGAGGCATCGGTCATCAGAAAAGTATTGCATCATTGAGATCACTACACAGTACATTGTCCGCTTTTTTTTCAATTGATGAATAGAGCAAAAAAAACTGCCAATTTGAGAAAAAGCAAAAAATTACTTGAGCATTTGGTTAACCCTTTCCAAACAATAGATTAGCCAAAATATAAACAAAATTCCCACACAGAATGAGTAAACGCATTTTTCGATTATGAAAATGTACAACTAAAACTCAAAAAAGCTCCATGCCATGAATATCATTGTTCAGGCTACTTAATTCCTCAAAACAGTAGGTGTCAAACCTGTTAGAGTGAATAGATCTATTAACAGCGCTATTGAAAATAATGCATAAAAATCTCGGTTTCAAGAGCTGCAAAATCAGTGCATTTCTCGTTACTTCCAAATCCGGTAAGACAAATTTTCAAATTCCAACATTTTTGTTTGCGCTGGTTTCTTTAACCATTGAAATTGATACAAAAACAGTGACCGCTGTGATTTATTCGCAAACAGTACAACTGAATTAAACTTTTGGAGAATCGTAGAGGAATCTCGCAAAACAAAATAAAAAGAAAACAATGAGCAGACATCCAAAGTTGCATTGACGCTGTTATATACGCCAGACAAAGCTTCAGAAATTTACTGCCTTTCCAAGTATTAAAAATACAAGCATTGGACACGGGTATTACCAAGGTATATCTAAATTTCTGTAAAACCAATGATGTCAATAAGTTTTCTTGAACCCCTGTCTTCCTATTTTGCTGAAACGTTTGATTAATTCTTGGTGAAAAAAAACAAACTGGCTAGAAAAAAACTCCTAAAAATTCTAACGCCATTCATACAGCATGTAAAATTGAATACTAAAGTCCGGGAATCATAGCCCTAACAAAATTTATACAAACAGAAAATGATCTGAAAACTCTCCGTAGGCGTTCTTCCTTTTTAAACCACATAAACCAATATCTGATTTTGAAAGAATGTTTTATGAACCTATATAAGAAAATTCTGCAAACATAGGTCACTGCTCCTAAAAAAAAAGATTTATGGCATCATTAACAAAAAGAAAAAAAGAAACTGAAGAAAAATCCGCATTATTAGCTATAAGACAAGTTTATCACGAGGCAGAAGAGGATATCATTCTTATTATTCTAAAATTACTGCCAATTTTGGCGTAATTGCGCTGCCAATACTGTTGCCGGTGAAAAATAAGTCACTGACATATTTTGTATTAAAACAAAAGATTTTTTGATATTGAAATTTAGTGAGTAAAATAGACCCGCCAGAGCACCAACTTTTTGAGTTACATACCCATATGACCACTACATTCAAAAAAACGAATCGAAAATTTACTTTGACAGACCGTATCATCTACAGCAAAAAAATAGTTCTTCTTGACCTGAAACGATAAAACTGCATCACAAAATTCAGTTCGGCGACATATAGAGGAGAGAATATTATGTCCACAAATGGTAAACTGTATGTTTCATAAAAAAACCACATTAAATTAGACAATGACAAAAAAGCATAATTTTTTGACTACCTTAATGAGTGTACACTGATATTGTCGCTGCGGTGAATGAAATACTTTTTTTTTCTTGCCAACACAGCTGCTTATCTGTTTTGCACTTCTTCTATAAAGCAGGCAATAAACCAGTCCCTTCCATCAATAATTATAAATAATTATTGATGTAGAATGTTGGCTAAAGAAAAATATCAATTGCAGTTACAATGATACTCCCATATGGAGCAATAAGTTTTTTGCTCTCAAGCTTACCTTAATTTAAATTCAAAAATAAAAAACAAACAGATGTGAAATGTCAGTTTATTTCCAAAACTGCATAACAATCCGTGACGTACAACTGGGCGTGATAAGTAAACACAGAAAAAAATACTGAAAAAAGGAATCTGAGGTTTTATTTGACTCTGTTCATCAAAAAAAAAAAAAAATAAAAATAAAAAAAGAAAAATTAAAAAATAGAAAAAGAAAAAGAAGGAAAAAAAGAGAAAGAAAAGAAAAAGTAACAAAGAAACATCAAATGAATCTGGAAAATCATGATAATATTTTTCTCTAATAGGGATTTAGAATAACTGTAGGGTATTCATTAAAAAATGAAATGAATTAAGAATCATCAAATAAAAGTCTGTATTATAAAGTGACATACAAACTATTCTAAAAGAAACTTCCCTCTAAGTACTCCAAAGAAAAAAGAATAAATGCAAGAAAAAAAAGAGAAGAAAAAAACAAACAAACAGGCAAACAAACAAACAAACAAACTAACAAACAAACGAAAAAAAAAAAACAAGAAAAATCCCATAGAAATTAATTTGCGGCATTATTTTATTAATAATGTAGTTGTGAGAAAGCGTCCTGCATTTTGATTCGCACCTTGCTAAAGCTTTTGATGACCGATATAGAAGTCAATAAATAAAAATAAACTAATAAATATATTTTTCAGATAATTATGAAATATGAAGAATGCTTTGAAAAATAAACAAACAACAAAACAATAAACGAAATTTCTCACTAAAAATAATAAAATACTGATGCCAAAATATTAATACACAGGTTTGAGAGAAAAAATGACAATACGTTTCAAAATAAAACCCTAAACAAGAAAAAAAGCACATGGAAAACATTTCTCAACTTTGATTTACCCGAAATCTGACAAGAAAAAGAATAAAAAAAATAACAAGCACAAAAAATAAACAACTTCTTCTTATCTGAAACATCGCGGGACCAGACGATTGTATAAGAAAAAGACCAGAATAACGAAAGACAATACCGATACATCGAACCAAGTGATTAGAATATCTAAACTTAATAATATCTCTAACTGTAATAAAAGGTTCAAAATTGAGCAACAAAATCGAAAAAAAAAAAATGAAAGAAGTTCCATCTATAGTTACATTGGTCGATTCAGCAACATTACAACTGGCGGTTGGTTAGACGTGTCCTGCAGCCTATAGTTCTGGCGCAGCTCATCATTGCCATCTGTATAGCAAACATCTTCATCATCTTCCGAGATTTCGCTGCTGCAACTACCCTCACACTGTCGGCTACCCGATGTACCGTCGACCGGCTTTTCTTCAGCGTCTAAGTCAACGTTCAAACACGGTTGTTGCCGGATAAAGTTACCACGAATAAAATTCACTTGACAGTTATTAATGGTTCCACTGGTGTCCAAGAGAACTACACTGCCTTGTTTCCAACCCTGCGCAGACGGGCCAAATTTATATACTAATCTTCGACCAGATACAGGTAGCAAAATTTTTGTATTATAATAATACCTAAAAAACATATATTTCGTAAATTCGCCCTTAAATAGTGAAGTAAAAATAAAAAAAAGCTAATCTCCCTACCATCTTTTAAGATAAAACTATACAATGTACAATTCTAAGTACAGTGGTGATAGCAATAAATGAAATCTAAAAAATCTAAAAAACTTCATTTCAGCGGTGAATTTACAGCAAATCGCGGAATGGTCCCTTTCTTTAAAACAAAACATTTTCGGTTCTTCGTTGTTGGTAACAGCGATTAATTTTACAAGAAAAAATGCTTAAAAGTAATTACCCATTTCAATCACGAGAACCATTTAAAATATAAATCACCAGACTAAGCAGAGTCAGAAAATGTTATTTCTACTTTAACACTGAATTAATTGAATCAACTCCAGCTCACATCAATCTTTTTCAGATAATTTTTACCAATTCATCTAGTTCCCAAAAAATATCAAAGTTGAGTACAGCACACTAATCGCCACAATTTGTGTATTAGTGGTCAGATCAGAACAAAACTTGGGGAGAAAAAGTATTAGCAAAGTAGTTAGCATATAGTTTCTGCAAATCTTCGCTGTCTAATTTCCTTACAGGTTGTTAAAAATTTAAAAACTAACCTGAATTTGAGACGCCGAATGACCATATTTTAGAACAGTCGTCCCTCAATAAAAACTGATCAGCAAACGGAAGTGAAGATTAGGTAAAAGAACAAAGAAGAGTATTGTTAATTACAGGAAAAACCAAAGTGTTTGGCAGGAAGATAGTGGCAAAGCTAACGGGGGAGGCAAAACTTTGTATTAGATTACAATGAAGCATGTTCCCCTCACATGTTTCCCGCGGGATTATGTGGCTTTTGAATAATATGTGAGCTCTGTAAAATTTGGACAGTTGAGGCTAATTGAGGGGCTTGTGACACCGTCGAATTTTGTTGTAAATGAGGCCCTTTGTTGCTCGATGTGAAGCTGGTTAATTTTTGTGATGATTTCCTGACATTATCATCAAGTCCAGTCACATCTATTCCATCCACTTTAGTTGCTTTCTCCCATTCTTCAGCTCCAGGGCCAAATTTATATACTAACTTTTTAGGGTATAAACCCGTTTTTGGAACAGGCACCAAAATCTGCTTGTCATAGTAAGTCCTGAAAGTCAGAAGTAGGTTAAGTTCAGTCGTGCAGAGATTGTTACGGAAATGTGCCCAATATCCAAAACCCAGTGGTAATCGGTCAAATAAAGTTGATAGAAAAATGATAGGTTATCAGCCTCGCAAAAAAATTCAATGTTCTGAGAGGAAAAAAAATTGACATTGTAACTTCCAGCCACTTATTCTAAAAAAGGAAAAAGAAAAAATAAAAAAACAAAAAAATTTTCTGCAGTTACTTTATGGTGCACTACTTTTCACCCGGAATATGCTTCTTTGTCTTTCAAAACTGAGCTAGAACCGATCAAGAGACTAGTCGAGCTGTAGATGAGTATGTAGTTAAAAGCATGCGAAACTAACAGGCTAATGTATAAAAAAAGGTGCTAGCAAAATTTTACTTACTGTAACCACCTGTCCTCTTTTTTCCCTCAGTTTTATTCTACAAGATAAGTACTACATTTACAATGTAATTGAATTTTGCTGTACAATGTACGAGAAACACAGGTCATAAACAGCTTACACTACCATAACGACTTCAACGTTATATTATTAACTTAGCAACGACTGAAGAGGAAAAGTGATGTAAAACAGGTTATAAAGCTAGCAGCTAGTTTCTTAACGCTAAATCAAATCTAATAAATTAGCATACCGCATCGCACGACTCAGTTTCTCGTAAGTCATCTTCGCATTATTTTTTTTCTTCCCCCACAAACGTGCTAGTTTCTCGGACTCAACAATACGAAACACTCCTTCCTTGGGATCTTCCCACCTACAAAGAACAAAATATGATTGACAACAAAGCTCCTTTTCAGACTATATTAATCAGCAAAGAGAGCACTGGCAAATAACTTAGAAAAGCAGTCAAAAAACAAACCTTACTATACTCGGGCATGTTTCTGGGTCCTTTAATGCATCTCTTATGAATTCCCACAATTTATTTCCCTTCGTATGTGTTGATCGTTTACGCCTTCCAGTACTAGTCCCCTGGATATCATCTGCCTCTTCCGAACCGTTTTCAGCTTGAAAGTTGAATATTTTGTTCCAAGCATATCTCAGAAAAATTTCGAAGGTAACTTGTAAAGAATCTAAATATAAAGTGTAGATTCATAAGGCATACTGATGGCATCACTGCTATTCAATCCTGACGTGGATGGCTTTGGCTCAAATGGTGGTGATTCTGACGCGGTGGAAGCTGAACAGGGAGGCATTGAAGATAAAGTTGACAGCTGCGACAATCCTGTCAAGTTTTGAACAGTAAACTGTGTAGACACAACTGGTTGAGGTTGTTGCGATAACGGATTCATTCTACAAATGATTCATTGAACAACAACATATCTGTAAAATCATAGCTAACTTTTTTTCCAAAGATCAAAAAAACTGCACTAACAGAGTCTGTTCTATTCCACGACCATGACATTGCAATAGGTCAGGTTCCTGCTTCAAAGCAAATGCTCGCAAATAACCTTCGAGAAATGCGTATTCTACAAACAAGTTTAATAAATATAATGTCAAACAGCTTAGAAATTCGCTTTTTTTGACGATAGCTTTTACACTTACAAATTCGTTCATTATTCCTCTATTTTATAACTTCAAACCCTCACCACTTCATCTGAACCAAAAATAAGTACGATCAACAAAGCCGTCAACTCAAACTGATGACTGTGACAGCAATAAAAAATTACTGTGACAATAATAAAACACTGTCATTGAAAACAGAAAAAAATACGAAAAATTTTAGTTACGACCAACTTAAGTTGGATTTCTTCTGCCTACAACAAATTTGGAATTCCATCTCATGCTGTTAGATCCTCCTCATCATATCGGCTAGTAAAACATATAATAGTTTTAGGTAGTATTTTCCAAGTTTCTCTGCTTTCATGAATTAGCGATTGCCTAATGAAATTTTCGTACAATGAATGCACTAACCACCATTTTTTAACACCAACCACAAGCCTTAAAAGCTTCTATTTCAGCTTAATTACAGCGGTTATGTTTCCATATCGATTAGAAAACTGAGCATGTTAGCAACATCTTGCAGATCAGTAAAAACTTTATTTCTATTCTTGAGGTATCTTCAGTTCAAGAGGAGTGCCACTCCGGTATAATTACCTCCCAAAAATCGAAAAAAAAAGTGAACAGTGTTATATTAAACTTCAAAAAATAGATTTTTTACTGCAGACCGATGACCGTTTTACCTACATAAATCATTTGAGCGAAAAATTTAGCGGGAAAAAACCTATAATCAGAACCAGCAACAGTGGTTTTGGTCAGGTCTTCTATTACCAGTAATAAACCTGCAACGGAATCTGCTTAAGTCTAAAACTAAATAAATTTGTGAAGAAGCACTGTAGTATAATCGCGCGCAAAAAAGCTTAGATTTTCAATAGTTATCTTTAAAAGAAGCTTATCCACCGTAGAAATCAATCCAGAACACCGCTGAGTAAAATCCTTAAGTTTGACCATAATCCCAATTTCGACAAAGATGCACAAAAACAATAACTTTATTTGATTTAAAAAAACAGTGACAGAGTTTGAAGAAATTACGATAAAAGAAGCCACTGGAAAGCAACGTAATCAACAATCTTGATTCTTCAGTAAGTATTTGTTTTTTCAAAGCGCTATCAAAAAATTTCTGCCAGCATCCCTATTCGATTAGATAGAATGAAAAAAATTAGAAATCTATTTTAAAAAAATTTAACTTCTCGTTTGTCATTTGTAATGTTCCACGTTTGTAAGTGACGTGTTATTTTTAAACGATTTTTCAAGAAAATGATTAATCTTGAAACTTATCGTTTCAAAGTTTCGCTAACAAACACATGTGAAATCGAAGACTAAATGAAACTCACGGTGTGATCCACCATATAAGAAACCGTCTACCCAATCAGTTACGCAATTATTCCAAAGAGTGAGAGCTTGCCAATTTTAAAAAGAAAAATAACCCAAGTATATCAAAAAAAAACATATAAAGTTTTTCACACCTAAATTCCATTCAAGACTCCAAATTTTCACTTTAACTAAAATGCACCAATAAACATACAAAAAACTGTTCCTCTGCTGTACTAATCTTGCCTTCGCTTCAAACTATTTGAAAGAAGATGTAGGACGTTTTCATAAGTTGCATTTACCAGTTGTCGGTTCCCTTCTTTTTCGCTAAAAAAATCCAAATGCTTTTTTAGAAACTCGGTACCCTGCAAACCTAAAATTTATCTGCTTTTCAGGCCGTTTTCCCTCTAATCCCAAGTATTACACACGTTTCAACGAACTGACAGGAATTTAAACCAATTTATCAACTATTTTATCATTAGCTGCCTTTCGGCACTTAAACACGAGAAAGTCCTCATTTTGATGCGTTTCAGTGCAAAAAAGGCAGCCTTCTATAGAATGCCCCTCAATCTTACTGCACTTTCTTTTTTCTTTAACCGAGCTGTTCTGCCCACTAAATAGGAAACAGCTAAGCAGTCGTCGAAACACCTTGCTCAGGAACTACCAAAGCATCTCTAATAAAAGTACTGTGTACATAAAATTAAAAAAGAAATTAACAACTAATACTTAAAAAATAAAAAAGCTTCTAATAACAAGAATAAACGTTCTCTCTAGTCCCATTTGCTGATTGTTTAATCAGCAAATGGGACTAGAGAGAACGTTTATTCTTACCTGAATTCCAGTGTCTCAAAATTCCAGATATTATAATTGAAAAAGGAAGACGTTACTTGTCAAGAAGGTCATATTCAACAAAAAATTGATAAGTTCCCCTGAATATTTCCACCTTGAAGGTCTTAAATATCAACACTATATTGTACGCCACTACCACATTTTTATTCAAGATTAAAAGATTTTCCAAGACTAATTCTGTCAAAAGCCAAATCTGGAAAGTAAAGAACCACGTTTTAAAACTACGAAAAAGAGTGAAACTTGTTTTTTGAAATCCAATTCACATAAATGTCAAGAGAGAGGAGAAAAACTGCTCAAAAAAAAATGACAACTCATTCACATCTGATTAACATATTATTATTTTTTTTAACTTGACTTTGATATTTAACTGCTACCAGTTAAGGTTAGGATTTCACTTTCGTTTCTTGTAAGAATGGTCTAAAAGAACAAAAATTTGATGTAAACATTAGATTTAAATCTGTGGAGGGTTACTTTACTACGCTTTCTCTTCCATCTTTAGCGTCTTTTAAACCAACTGACACTACTTTTTAAGTTCGTATCGTCTTCCAACAAAACAAAGTCGTTTATCAATCATTTTTAAAGTGGAATGTAACTGGTAAGAAACGAAAAGAGTCAACTTCCACAGTAGAAGACATTTTGAAACCAGTTCTCCTTTAACGTGTGTAAACTATATAAACGCAAGCTGCCTTGTTTACCGAGGTTGCTTCTGCTTCCTCAGAGGGTTTCCCACACCGTTCTAACACAGTTGTTTTATGGATACCCATTAACCTTAACAGAAGCAGTACACATCACTGCGCAATCAATTACGCTTTCTACACTCAAGGCTGTGAAACGTCATATAGTACTTGTCAACAATATTGAGGTAGCAGCCCAATCCCCCAATCCCGGTAAAATTTCCAACTTGAAAATTCAAATATCAACGGTTATTTAAAAACATATGTCTCTTAGTAACTCATCGATCAGCGAAGGTTAACAGTCAACATTTCCGCACTACTTTGTCTCAGACTGTAAACTAATCAAATTTTCAATAATAAAGACCTGATTCATGTTAAATTTCTAAGAATAATTTAGCGAAGGAAACTTCATCATGCTGGAAAAAACACTTCACGAACTCAATAACTAAACAATCTCACTTGTAAGCTGGATTTACAGCACGCGACCCAAGTAAGCTCAAAATACCACTATGCTTAACTTTTTGAATTTATCAGTATAAAAAACCGTAATTCCAATGAGCGTATTTATACAAGTTAGGTGCATGATCGCTACCACTTAGATGTCCCTGCAACTGCCTAATTTTTTTTTTAAATCAAAACAGCAGCAATTATCCGCTTAAACTCAGAAATTTTTGGAAGAAATAAATATTCCTAATTCAAAATGATCAGCAAAAATACTGCAAAACAAAAATGATTACCCTTCCGCCTGCCTCGAATCAAATAAAGAAATGAACTGAATAAAAAAGTAACAAGTCCAGATTAGCTTTTGTCATTGACTAATAACACAGATTTTAATTTTATATTCACGGAAAGTTGACAACAGTTGTAGAAAAAAAAACCTTATTGTCCGCCTATATGTCAGTTTTTTCGGCAAGCTGAGAATAAATTTAGCGCACTTTTGCTCAACATAGTTTTTTCCTCCTTCACAAATTTCCATCGGTGAAAAAAGTTCAAAGAACAAATTGGTTTTTCCTCTTATTTCTAACGAAGTATTAAGTATGCATTCGAACCCCTGCTGCAGTTACTCACCGCAACTGGGATGTCCTTAATTTGGCACCAAAGGTTTAAGCCGATAAATTGGTTGAGGCAAAGTCGCATTATCAAAAATATGCAAACTCTCTTTTAGACAGACGTTCAGCAGGATGATGAAAACTGCTCTTGTAAGAGTGGGGACGACGAGAAAGAAACAAAACCAACCTATTCCGTCACACTTTCGACTCCGCTTAGTGAACAAATAGCACCGCCTATCTTAATACTTTTTCCCATGAATCAAGCCCGAAAAAAGTTTACTAATAAAGCAATGACTGAATAATTATCATGTGTTGAAATTGTTAAGCAATAATTGTTGACCATGACAGATAACCAAATAAAAAACAAAAAAATCAGTTTTTTTTTTTTGCATGAATGAAGCGTATTTCATATAACACTAAAAGCTGGTAAAAGTAACATGAAGCATTTGGTTTCCTAAAATAAAACTCCCCACAAGTAAGTTAAAAATGGTCATCATCTTATACTGTCATTTCGCTTCCAATATATAGTTATTCATTTTTAAAAAGTACTTACAAAAAATAAACTCTTGAAGAGTGCCAGAACTAAAAAAAGATGAATGTTACTAATAAGTACTTTTTTTGTCGAGTGAGAAAAAAATAAATAACTACATGTTCCCCACTACAGCAAATTTCAAATTTGGAAAAAAAGTTCGTACCCTACTATGTATCTTGCTTTGAATAAGGATTTGGAAGTTGTATCAAACAATCTGTGCAAGATTAGTGAGGAAACATCTTTTCTAACCGGCTTAAACTCTACAACTGCATATCTAAGAAGCGTAAATAGGTCGGTTGTCCAATATAGAGTTTTTTTTCAATGCTATAATGTAGAGATATTTAAGTGAAGAATATGAGGCAATATTTCTGTGAAATTGATTTCCATTTGATGACAATGCCTACATTAAAAATACTCAGAAACTTCAATAAAAACAAGTCTTTGAGAAATATTACACAAACTTAATAGATACTCACTTGAAGAAGAAAGTTATAGCCACGTTCACCTACGAATAGATGATTTTCACCAAAACAGTGACACAGCGAAGAAATATAAGAAACGAGAGCATCTTTTTAGAAGAATGAACTTTAACTCGTTTTGTACAAATAAACTCATACAAAAATATTAGTGAGAAAAAATTTCATTACAAGCTAGACACGAAGCCTAAGAGAAAGAAATAGTCGACTGATAAGTAATCCCGTTGTTGAAGAAAAACGATAAGAACTGTGTATTGGTTGAGTGTGAGCCATGTCCATTTAAATAAAGTAAGTCCATTCAGCTTTTTCCAAGCTTTTTCTGAAAAATTTCCGCATATAGTCCAGTCTCTCATATTCAAGTAATGAAGAAAAACAATCATCAACAGCCAGAAAACCACTTACACGTGTCTCTACGTCTGTTTCTACGTCTTCATAGATGCCTTATTTTCAGTAAAATTTAAAAGGGGAAAGCAAAGTAGCCAAACAAACTGAGTTTTTCCACTTCGCCATTTCTATCTAGTAGCATTTCTACACTTTCCCTTCCTTCAATCAGTGCCCTACCGTTCTAAAAAATACATCCCCTTCCTCTACCCTATTTTGTAATACGACAATTCTCTTGCAGGCAGCTACGTCTGAAACGCGCTCTCGGACAAACTAGCTGAATTTTAAAGAAAGAACTACATACAACCAAAACTGCAACTTACTACCTACAGCAACATCTTAATACTGAAATCTTCAGACGAATTACATAGTTTAACCCATATGAAAAAGTATGGCAACAGAGGGAGAAGTATCACGAGTCAAATCTTCCCTAACAAGTGCTCCTGAAAAATTCAGGTCTGGCAAAGGTACAAATAAACGGCACTCTCTTCCTAAAAAACCTGCAGACATTTCAGTCGGTACAATAAATTCTAAAATTAAGACAACAAGAACTAGTGCTCTAAGCTCTTGAAAAAAGGCTGACCCAAATAAGTTTTACCACAATTCCCTCTCTACAAACTAGAAATGAGAGTTGCCAGAAACGTCAGTTTATGAGCTTAAAGAGTCATCCTTTCCTGCTATTGAAAAATTTTTCAGAATAAATCCTTAGGAAAATGCATATTCTCTCTGCAGTATCATACCAGCAAATGATGACGTCAGAAAAACGCTACATTCGAACTACAGAAAAATACTACCCCGCTGAATTTCTACTGTTCGCTAAAACAAATATCTTAGAGGACCTCCCTCTGATGCCTACGATTGTCAGTTCAATGAAAAGTATGCAAGATGAACAAACTACCACCTCTTGGCAGCATAGCCCACATCGACATCATCTGCGTATTTCACTTTGTAAAACTTCAAATTTGTGGGAATTTTTCGTTTCGCGTCGTTTTCGTTAACTTCTGCTAATTAAACGTTTTTTAACAAGGACTGCATAAGTCACTAAAGACTATGATTATGCTTACTCATCTTCAATTCTTTATCTCTTTTCCACCACACCCTTCATAGAATTTGGGCGACTTTCCTCTTTGGCTGGTTATTCAATTAGATTCCCGTCGAAGTTCAACCTTCATGGCTTTTTTTGTAGATTCTGACAATAACAAAAAAAGTGAGTTCTGAAAAACTTTAACAATCAAGTGCTCAAAAAATAAAGCTTAATAATGTCAGAGATATTTTTAATAACTCAGCTCTCAATGTTAAGCATTTAACCACGAAATGTTGGCATTTTGCTTGGTTATTGACCATTTCTTTGATGAAACTGTCACTACTTCCTCTATTTTCCCTGAATCAATGCGGCACTTTTTTGCATAAGCTGACTTTAATGGTTCTTGACGCCGTCGGTTCTACAACTCCCTCATGATGCTCAATTCTTTTGGCAAAGCATTAATCTAAATGCCTCTCAAAAAAAGATTTGTACAGAGGATGATTGATTACCCCTTTTTGCTCCAAATGATAGAGTCTAAGGAACAAAGCCAACATCACAGACGGTTAAGACGCAGCGGTCGGGAAACGAACCGACCCATCAATAGGTTATGACTCGTTTTCAACAAAAGATTTGAAAAAAAAAAAACCGGGTAAAACGAGAGTAAAAAAACTTATTTCTCCGCTGCTTGTAAATCAATTTTACAGCAAAGGTCAGAAAAAAAGCATCGGAAAATTTCAACAGAGTTGCGATCCAAAATAAAATAGTTTTCTCATCAAAACTGTGGATAACCGATGCTTAAATTTCAAACCGAACAAAAAATACTTCTTATTCCGCAGCAACTATCGGTTTTCTACATGATAATTTTCACATCCCACCTTCCCTTCTATTTGCCCCTGTTCAAAAGTCTTATTGAACAGCACTTTTATCGTTAAGAAAGAAAGAAAAACAGGAAAGGTTTAAAAAATAATCTGTGAATGAGCAATGAGAACTGTAGGTGAGGTTAGAGATCATCGTTACTTGCACCGTATGTAGTATGAGAAAAAAGAGCCAAAAATGTAAATAAATAAATGAATAGAAGCGAAATAAATATACAGATATTTTTAAACAAATTAACCCAGCAAAAGGTATGAAAATATAAAGAGGAACAGTTTTTTTTTTGCTTTGTATGGTCATCTTTTGGGAAATTTTTAATTTGGGCATGCATTGAATCGGGAAAGAACAGTTGCACTTTTTGAACTGCTTGTTAGATGGAAAGGACGGCCGTGAGGAACAGTGAATTTTGCAGATAAAATGTCAATGGGAAAAAAGCTTCTTAAAAATAGGTGAATAAATAAAATACGAAATAACGGTTAAGAAACGCTAATGATTTCATTCAGTTTCGACTAATTAGACAGGTATAAAGCAACATTGCAAAACAAGAATATTTCACTGTTCTAAAAAGCACACAAATACTTTTTAGCATCACCACTCCTTTTCCATACGCAAAATGCTGCAGATTTTAAAAGCCACTAATTCCTTCTTTCGTGGCAGAACTCAACAATTTGACTTCGTTTCTTTACTTTCTTTTTTTCTTTTTTGCTCCTTCGCTGAAAAAGATAAACATCAGGGAAAATAGCAACAATAAAGTTCAATGTAACAGTCCTAAATGCAGTAATTTTTACTCTCTCACAAACACAAGAAACAAAGACGGGAAGAAAGAATTCACTCGCTGTTTAGAACGAATAGATTTCTCAAATGTCTACTTTTCGCGCCGTAAAATTTTGGAAGTTTGGAATATATACGAATGAGACAATGCATGAGATTGTAGAACAGACAACATTGCCATTTATGAATCCTTACCATAGTCCAATTACACAACAACGAAGCCAAAAATTCAGAAATAAGCGCACAAATGTACACTTTTTCTTATTTAGAAAAACTTAGAGTAAAAGCAATAAAATAAAAAATCAGAAAATTCATTTTTTCATTCTGCTTATGAACTCTTCTGAAAAAAATCTTTCAAATCTCCTACGTTCTTGCTACAGATAATTCTCAAAATCCAAAATTTTTGAAATAAAAAATTTAGCATTTTTTATTTTTCCCTTTTTGTCGTTTTCCAATTGCTCGATTTTCGTTGGAGAAAATTTCTTCAAAAACCCGATGACTAAGTGGGAATTCTCTGTTTACACTGCAAGTTTGTTGAGCAAAACATTTTGTCCAAGCGTCTTTAATGTTTGTTTTGCACATGCCAAACAAAAATTTTTTTCTCCGAAAATCAGCGGAAAAGCACGAAATCTTAACTAAAGCAAATGATGGGATAAGATCTGAGTTTATCGGCCACTGGTCACTGACAGTCGAAGAGCTAAATAACGAGAGTCTACCTTTACCTTCCTGGACCCTTCGCTTAATAATTTCTGTAACAAGAACCTATTTGGCTAAGAGGAGACACCATGAGGCTGAAAACGAACAAAGAAATTTAAGAAGGAACTCCATAAAGGACAACTACTCCCTTCCTCTTCGACCGTGTGAACTTGTTAGGCAAAGCCACTTTAAGTTGTTATCTCGACCTTCAAAAGTCTTTCTTTTGTTACTTCAGAGAAACTTACTCGAACGTTCCATAGCTGCACCTGTAGCCGGAAAAGAAAAAGATAAATTATTAATAGACAAGTTCATAAGAACCTCCATGCCAAGCAAAAAGAACAACACAATTGTTTGGCATTCAAAAAGTGAACAATTTCTTAGCGTTCTGCAGAAAACAAATTAACGAAGCCATTAATAACTGAGTGAAAACAAGCCGTAGACAAAACTGATAACAACAGCATTTATAGTGGAATGATAGATAAATGTCATCGAAGGTTGCCGAGGTTAGAATCGTTGACAGAATAAAAAAGAACGAAAAAAAAACAATGCAGGAACATTATTTCCAAAGACTCTTGATGTAAGTTTTCCTTTCTCTTTTCCTCAACAAAATATAGCAAATTGATAAGAAAGTTAGGTGAAAATGAATAAAACTTTCTGCATTATGCTCAGTAAAATAAAAGCTACAAACAGTTATCAAATATAATAAAAACATCCCTGCAAACCAAAAAAACTCTCTTTCAACAAAAATATTAATTATCTCAAATAAAAAAGTAGCAGGAAACTCGGAAAAAAGAAGATGACTATAAAAAACCATCTATTTGCTTCAATCAAAACTTTTTTCAAATATAAATTGTGAAACCTCTTCGTCAATCTCAAAAAGATGAGTACCCTATCAAAATTTTGTTCAAAACATTTTGTTCAAAACATATGTATTACTTAAAAAAAATAATTAATGAAATAAAAATTTTTACGTTGAGAAATTCGCTGGTCAGCGATCAGTTGCCTGAATTCAGCAAACAATATATGCCCATAATTTGGATCCATTTCTTTGAACTGTTGCTCATCCATGCTCAACAAAATTTTACCGTTGCAGCGTCCAAACTTATAAGCATTTGTTTCTTCTATGCGAATACCTTTGGCTTTTACAACTGCACATAACCATGCGGTAACGTCGTCTGATGCCCAAAACTACAACAGACAGATTTGATAAAGTTTTCCTCCAAACGAACAACTAGCGCAAAAAAAACTTTCTTGCGTATACAAACAGAAAAAAAAACTGTTTCAACAACACCCAAATGACAGAACTAATTAAGTGCGGATATTTACTTCTGGACTTGTTGATCGAAACCTTTCTAGGTCACTTGACTCGCTAAATGGAATCGGCTTTGGCTGACATGGGTTATTGTTCGTATGAATATAGTTAAACACACGACGCAGTACTAGAGGACCCCAAGGTGTCTGGCCGACGGCATTAATAATTGTTGAAGCCATATCTGGGTATTGAAGTATCTGTAAGGCAACAGCAACTAGTTTAAATCAGTGCTTAATTTATGAATTAAAAAATATTGACGCATTTTCTTTTCTTCTAAGTTACTCGAAAGAAATAATGAGGCGAAGGAAGGACAGGAAAGAAAGAAAATGAAAAGGGAGGTGCACATAAAAACGCACGCTTTGCTACATAACCAAACAAATAATCTGTTTTCTTGTCCAACGTCAAAATTGAGACAAATGCAAAAAAAGTTTTCAAATTAATAATCGAAAATTACACTAGAAATTTCTTGCCTTTTCTGACTAATAGGTATCAAATTACATTTAATGCTCAACGAAGACGTTTGAAAAAACAGAAAAAAACCTAATTTTTTCTTAAGCATTACATACGACTAATCATATCACTCACCAGTTGTAAAATTTGTTCACACAGTGCGTCTACCACAGCCGCCTGCGGAAACGAAAATGGAGCTTGTACTTGATTATAGAAGCTTGCAGCAAAATATGCAGCAGGTTGTCGCTGAAAATGTTCCTGTATTAATATGGCTATATTGTTAGCAGTATCACCAGGAATCTGCAATGTTGTTGACGTCGTTGACGGCACAGTTGATGTGGCGGCGGCGGCAGCAGCAGCAGCAAATGCCGAAAAAGCACTTGGATGCTCCAAACGGTCAGAGGTTGGTGAACTCAAATACAGGTTATACGGTGATTGTAACGACGACGTTGCGGCAGGCAGTTGAAGCGAACCTGCCAG